AATTTACTTCATTTAATGTACTTCATTCAAGTAATTTGATCTTACTTTCAACTAACAATTAACTAGAGTTTGGGATCTTTTCTCTATCTTTAATTTATAATCTCAATGTGAGGATGACCCAGCCAATTATTAAAGTTGTTTATAGCAAATAAGCTGTGGAATCTAATGTTTACCCTCATGGAGTTTCATTAACAACATTAATTTCACATCTGTTTTTTTTCCCCTTGCCTTTCCCTCTTAAGCAGATAAAATACAAGCATTAAATGTTTTTAATAACACAGGGAGGCGCTTAATTGTGTAATAATGAATGGAAAATGCAGGCACCAAAAGAAAAAAGCAAAATGTACAAACTGGTAATTCTGGGTGGTGGATGAATTGGCAAAAAAGCAGACAAGGTTTTAAATAATAAAACTTCCAGAAAGAGACGTCACTTTAAAAAGAAAAGGGAATAAATGATCTGCTCCATCTCAGTCATCACGCTGTCACTCACATGGACAACACTTAACACCACGGCCATGTTTCAAACTGAGGGTGGAGGTGCTGGTTGTGAAATCAGTTTCGAGGGTTGCAACTATGATTAAAATTTTTTTTAAAATCAGCGTAAATACAGGTAACTACAATGAATGTTTCGTGTATATATGGATTCACGTGTAAGATGTATTTGTAACTATGCTCAAAAGTTTGAAAGCTACTTAACCTATGAAACTGTAAGCTTAAGAATATCAAGTAGCCTCGATACTATGGTGTCTTAAAAATCCTCAAATCTAATTTCTCAAGTGTTGTCTGTGGAAATGTGCAACACAATACTCTGGTGTTTGAAAATGGAGATTCCTGAGCCCTGCCCCAAGGCTGAATGACAAGACTCTCCCCTAAGATGGACCCCACGGTCTGAATTTGTAAGCGAGCGCTTTTGCTTTAGCTTTTTCTAAAGTGAAGATCTTTTTATGTTCCATGTGAATGCTCACTAAAGGATGACCTCAGCAGAGGAAGATTTTAATGATCGGTGGAGAGATCGAAGGCTGATTAGAACCCTTGCTTGAGAGATTTTTCTAAAAGAGCTTTTTACAAATACTCCAGGAACTGAGTAATAAGACACAAAGTATATCTCCTCTTTCCCCCACCCGTTCTCGATACAGCATGAAGATATTTACTAATGTACTATGTACTAGTGACTCATTCTAATCCTACCCATTTCAGTCTTCTTTAACCACTACCCCAAAATTCTAAAGGAAAACTATTCAGGTATTATGGTTTAAATAAAAATAGCTTCTAGGGAAAACCAGACAAATTGTACAAGAGACCTTTCTGTACAATCTATGCAACTTCCTGTGGACCTATAAAAAGTTTCAAGTATAGCAATCTTCTTAACAATGTAGGAGTATTTAGGGCTAAAATTTTGAGGGAGAATATTTGGGCTTAATAGTTATTTTGTGTAAAGGCAAGAGAAAATCATTATAAAAAGAATCCTGAGCTAATATCAAGATGAAACAAATGTAGAGTGCTTAAGCCAAATTCAAAATGTGACTATTATAAGACGTAGGAGAATATTTTCTATTATTTGAGTTCCACTTTAGATATCTGAATTTTATGGATGATTCTAGCTTTGACTAAACAAAGCCTTTATTTCCCCACTAATAAGCTTTACAAAACAATGGGATTTGCTCAAGATTTCTAGCATTACCAATCAATCCTCTACCTAAACATGCATCACTTCTTGGAGTGAAGCTCACAAGCATCACTCAAATTCCTTTTCTCAAGGAATACCTCAAACAAAACTAAAAATGTTTACCAACAACTACTCAACTTTTTAAAAAGTCAGACATACTGATAATTCTTATCTCTTATTCTGAAAGTGTTTTTTAAATGCTGATATAGTGTTCATCAGCATTAACGTCACAGCAACGTCAACCAACTCATCTCTGACCTACGAGTATATTTTCTTCCTTTTTACGACCGTTTAATAGTGCACAACTGATTCTCATTTTCTTCCCTTCAATTCAGGTTGTTGCCAAGCTCCAAGTGCAGGAGATTCTTTTTAAAATATTATACACGAAAAATAAACTAACAGCTAAGGCATTACAAACCTTAGGCATGTATACTGAGGTCCTGAGGAATTCAACACTCAGAGAAAAAAGTCCAGGAGGGTAACTGAGACAGGCTGCTGGCTGGACCAGACTCTCTCCAATAAATGGATCAACAAGACAAAAAGAACACTTTCCCTCCCAGAATTCTTTTTCCATAATGAATCTACAACAGGAAAAATTTATATCCAGTTAGCCACTTAAGAAATATCCAGGGCCGGCCGAGTGGCGCGTTGGTTAAGAGCTGGCTTGGGACGCCAGCTTTGAGCAGCAGGGCCCCGGTTCGGATCCCACATGAGGGCCAGTGACACTGCCCTCCACAGCTAAGATGCTGAACAACAGCTCAACCTGGAGCTGGGCTGCCGGGAGTCGTAGGCCACGGCGTAGGCTGCAGTAAAGCTGCAGTGGGGCTGCCATAAGCTACCGTGTGTCGTCAGCAGCCAGTGTGAGCTGCCAAGAGCCGCTGTGAGCGGCCGTCCAGAGGCCGGCGACCGATCTGCCTCACCCGGGAAGAGCGCAATGATAATAACCAACATGGGCCAGTGAAGCAACGTCCTCCACAACTAGACTGAAGAACAAAAGGACAGCAACTTGTCTGCTCCCCTTCCCCAATTCCCCAACCCTGTTCCCCTCTCCCAATTCCCCAATAAAATCTTTAAAAATAGTAATAATAATATCCAAATTTTTATTTCAAGGAAAGGTTTTCAGAAAATACTTCTCCTTAAATTAGCAAGAGGTTAAATCATAAAGGGAGGAGAAAACTGTGAAGCAAGCTTATTTTGGTTTACATTTCATCTCTGTGAGATTGGTTATGTCAGAGTTTAACTTCAGCACAAATGAAATTAATCCAATAGCTATATGCAGTAGAAATTTACAAAATAAAAATGTACATCTATGCCTCAAAAACTAAAAATATGAGCCACTTCCGGATATATATCCAAAATAACTGAAAACACTGTCTCAGAGAGATATTTGCAACCCATGTTCACAGCAGCATTACTTACAATAGCCAAAAAGGTAGAAACAACCCAAGTGCCCATGAAGGGACAAGTGGATAAACCAAATGTATTATATATATACAAGGCAATATCATTCAGCCTTAAAAAGGAAACCCTGTCACGTTACAGCATGGATGAACCTTGAGAACATTATGCTAAGTGAAATAACTCATACGAGAAAAAAAAAAAGATACTATGATTCCACTTATATAAACTATCTAAAGTAGTCAAATTCATAGAAAGAGAAACTAGAATGACAGATGCCAGAGACTGCAGGCAGGGGGAAATGGGGAATTGTTTAATGGGTATCATTTTGGCTTTACAAGATGAAAAAGTTCTGGAGATCTGTTTCACGATGTGAACATACAGAACTTATACACTTAAAAATGGTTAAGATGGCCCATTTTATGTGCTACCTATGTAGAGTGGAAAGTTTGATGAGAAGCAGTATATTTTTGTGGTAGTAAAGGAATTAATGCAAGAGAAATAGCAGTAACTACACTGGCTAACAACAGGAATACACCCTGACCTGAGGGAGAATCCAAGTGACCATCACCGATAGTGCTGATGAGGGCGAATGACCATCAAGGTCCTGCCGACGAGGCACTGAGAACATGCTGCCTCTAAGGAGCGAATATCAGACAAACCTAAAGTGAGAAATAGTCTCTATTATATATGTTCTGTTTTGTACTGCAACGAAATGCAATACATGATCATTCACTGGAGGAGGGGAAAAGCTTTAAAGGACATTATTGGAAAAATTGAAAAAATAATGAACTATGGGTTGCAAATTAGCTAAAAGGACGGTCAATGTTTCCTGAATTTGAAAGCTATATATATTATTGGAAATAAGTGCTCAGGTATTAAGGAGTAAAGGAAGATGATATATGCAACCTCTCAAATAGTTTAAGGAAAAAAATGTTTACATAAAGAATGACAAAGCAAATGTGCCAAAATGTTAAAAAATAGTGAATCCAGATAAAGTGTGAGTTCTCTGCTACGTTTGAAATGATTTCAAAATAAAAAATTAAACTAGTTTTTAAAAGTATGATCTTAAATTTAGTGTACCTCAGCTCCACCAAAACTTTTAAGGTACATACAAAAAGAAAATTTGTCCTATTTAAGCATAAATGCCAGCAAACTCACCTCAAGTATCAGCAAACACAAAAATCTATATTCAAATGCAAGTATGCTTATTACAGTCAGACAGTATAAAACTAGGTTCCAGCCCTAGGCCCCAACTTCAGTGGGTGAGACTAGAATGCAAGTCATTGCCAAGAGGGTACAGGCTTCAGAGGGAAAGAAAGCACTGTGGATTAGTGATCAGGCAATGGGCTCTGCAGGAAATGGGGCTCCACCTAGAAGGGCCCAAGCTGATTAAGTGACAAGTAAAATATGGAGTGGTTGAAGTAACAGTGGTTACCCACTTTTGAATGTTGGTAACCAATTATTATACGTCGGTTTAAAAAGGTAAAATAGGGCCGGCCGAGTGGCACAATGGTTAAGAACTGGCTTGGGATGCCAGAGGGCCCCGGTTCAGATCCCACATGAGGGCCAGTGACACTGCCCTCTACAGCTAAGATGCTGAACAGCTCAACCTGGAGCTGGGCTGCCGTGAGTCACCGGCAACGGCATAGGCTGCAGCCCATGGCAGTGGGTTGCCATGGGCTACCGTGTGTAGCCAGCAGCCAACAGCCAGCGTGAGCGGCGAGCAGCTGCAGTGAGCGGCCGTCCAGAAGCCGGCGACTGATCTGCCTCGCCCGGGAAGAGCACAATGATGGTGCCAACTTGGGCCAGTGAAGTAACGTCCTCCACAACTAGACTGAAGAACAAAACGACAGCAACTTGTCTGTTCCCCTTCCTCCAATTCCCCAGCACTGTTCCCATCCCCCCAGTTCCCCAATAAAAATCTTTTAAAAAAAAAAGGTAAAACACCAAGCAGGTGTGATAAAAGCCAACAGATAACCAGATGCAGCATAGGACTCACCAGTCAGCAACATGATTCCCCCTCCACAGGAGACAGGTAAGGATTCAGAGGTTTAAACAAGCAGTAAAATAAAAGTAATCCATCTGGCAGAAAGAGGAGGATGTTGTTATGAGGGTTAGGTAAGTGTGCTGGACAGAGAATACTAGCCTCTTAACAAGACAAGCCAGTGAAGGCTTGATTATTATATAGTGATGAAATTCAAAGTGTCTAAAGCACTTTGCGAAGAACTTAAGCTCAGCTATACTAGCCTGGTCCCATCATTTAATAAGTAGAGGTGAGCACAAAAAATTTCCCTTTCCCTAACTTTGAAATGTGTCATTCCCAAAAGTGAGCCCTTTTCTATTAGGTTTGAAAAGCATATAGGAAGCAGAAAGACCACAAGGACTAAATTCCCTAATGAGACACAACTTTCTCTTCCTGACCAAGCCAATCATTTCCTTACAAAGCCATCTGCCTCGGGGGTTAGTGGGAAGACTGAGAAACATCTCCCACCCTCCATCTGTAAACAACTCCTAGCTATCTCATTCCCTAGTAAAATATAAATGTCATCCTTACTTATTAATTAAAAGGGCAAAGTCATACTCCACCAGCATTGCCTGAAGCTTCTACAGATTCTTTCAAGGTATTTTAAAGATGCAGATTATACTGTAGACCACAATACAACAGGATTTATTAGGTTGACTGGCTATTCAAGTAAACCCATATTAAGTGACTACACTAGCTGTTGTCACATTCATCCTAGTACTGCCACTTAGAAGCTACTTCATAAAGTAATAGTTAATACTTATATAGCACTTACTGTGTGGCATGCACTATTCTAAATATGTACTCATTTACATTAATTATATATAATCACAAAGAACAACCCTATTAAAGTGCTATATACTATTGCCATTTTATAGTTGAGAACAACTAAAGAACAGAGAGGGTAAGTGATCTTCCCAAGATTACACAGCTAGTGAGCAGCAGAGCCAGGATATGAATCCAAGCAGTCAGCCCAAAGTCATGTTCTTAACTACTGCCTCCCTCATCTCAAGTTACTTAACCCCACTCCCCGACCCGGCTTCCTCACTAAGGGAGGGGAGCAGTTAACAGGTCCATGCTCTTTTCTGGATCCCAAGGACACAGACAGGCTTCAGAATTCATCAATTTTCTGGTTTGCAAAAGATAATAAGCACCTTATTATCAAGCATATTAATATTTCAGAAGTAAAATGAGAAAACACTAAGTAGGATAAATGGATGTAATAGCCTCACACAATTTCAGGTCATGATTGTTTTTGCCAACATAAAAGTAACAAAAAGTTCAGTTTTCAGAGATTCTGGATTTTGAAATTGCAGTTAAGTTACTTGATATTAATAGAATTGTCATCAAGATTAAATAAGAATATACATAATTGCTTACCATTGGGCCTAGTACACAATAAGTAGGCGCAATACATGGTAACTATGTTAAAATTAAAATGTTAGATTTTATTAACTGTAAGTGAATGATGTTTTTAATTAAAAGCTCCAAGTGTTACAAGGGCAATCTGCGGGGACTATGGGTACCCAAATAGGTGAGATGGGAGGATGATCTTAGCACCATAAAAATAAAACACCAATTATGAACAAGGATACCAGGATATATCATTTTAAATTAAAAGGATGGGGAAGGGGGCTACATAAGTCTTAAAAGAATATCTCTCTAACCACAGAATTTACTCAATCTTTTAAAAAGTCTATTTAATCCTCTTAGAAAATCAGATAGCTTTTAGAGGTAAGAAAAAAAGAGGTTAAACACTAATATTTGATTTCAAGCTCCCAATCATGTACCTTCAAACAACTCTTTAAAACTTACCTGAATAACTAGGTTTCAAAATATCAGTAAAAACTACAGAAAACACTTATGCTTCAGTCTTTTTAAAAGAAAAATAGTAATAACATCTGTATTCAAATTACTTAACTCCCTAATAGCAAATTGTTCTTTTAAAATAACCATCCAAAAAAAATAATAAATGGTAATAGCCACAAAGTGGCAAAATATTTTTAAGAACAGGCACATCTTGACTTCACTTTGATACATCACTTAGGGCAACATACATGACATTTCTCCAAGAAAATGAACACTACTATAAAAGGATCTTTTTAATTATTAATGAAAATACTTATCACAGTTTTCAAACACTTGAACAGAATTCCCTTAGTCCTGGCTCTAAGATACCAAGAAGCAGTTTTAAGTATCCTATGTTTCCATTATGATTTCTATGTAGTCTTAATATTTCTTTTGTATTATGTCCAGTAGAGTCCATCAGAAATCTTAAATATTTCTCAACAGATGGACTTTTTAAAAAAGGCAATGGGGGAACAAAAATAAATTAACTACTGAAAAAAAGCAATGTATTCAATTTATTTCACTACCCCTGTTTTACCATAAACAGGCTGTCCAATTTACTGTGTTCTACTCTTTAAATCCTTTTTCAGTTCAATCATCCAGCACTTAATAAATGCTGAACTTGTGCTCAAGGAAATCCTCTCATTAACAAGTGGAATCACTGTTGCCAGGGCCAGGCCAGCCAAAGCAAAACAAATGATACCTAATTTAAGACCCAGGACCATATATGAAAAAGAGAAGAAATCCCATTTTCAAAATGCCCCGAGTTCACTACATTGAACTGGAGAGCAATTCATATTTTAAAAGCAGCAGCTATTGCCTGGCTAAGTGAGGAACAGAGAGCTCCATCATTTCTACCTACTACCAGGGTAACTCCTCACCAAAATCATAAGCTAAATGGTAATGATGAAAAACAGTTAAGTGTATTAGAACAGGGTTGTTTCCAAATATTAGAGAATCTTTCAAAAAGGCATTTTTAATATACCTATTAACAACTGCCACTTATAATTTTAGGCAATTTAATTAATCTCTCTGAGTGAGCCTCAGTATCTTTTATCTGTAAAACAGGGATTAGTAAAATTTAGTTCATTGGACTTCCCAGAGAGTAAAATGAAACAGCGTATACAAAGTGCTTACCACAGTTTGCATAAGCCTGGGAAATACATAGTAGCTATTATTAATCACAGAAAGTACAGTTTGGCAACTATCTTAGATGTTGGGAATATGCAGAAAAGTGAAATCAAGTGTTATAGGAGGTGTGAGTTTTAAAAAGCTAAAAACCACTTTCTGTAGCAAAGTGACTAAAATTGGTCCAAAGGAAGAGAGAGGAAAATTATGATCTAAACATCTAGTGGGCAACCAGATTTAAGAAACTATTTGCAAGTTTAATTATCAGTTCTATAACAAGGATTTACATCTGCCATCCAAGTGGCCCATCCCCACATGTGATGCTTACTTTGTAATTACATCCATTTGAAATTAACCAGTAACTTTTAAAACCGGCTTAACAAATGTATCATTCTATTTTGGCAAAACTACCCCTCATCTCCTAAAAATCAATTATCTCCAAATATGATCTGAGAATGATTTCCATCAGCATCACCTTGTTAAAAACACGAAGTGGTGGAAGGAGCTCAGAAATCTTAAGCAAATTTGTTGAGGACCACTGCCCAAAGTGTTTCACAAAAACACTCTATATTAAATCCACCCCATGTGTAACTTAACCACCACTTACTTTCTTGAAAGATCTGCAACTAGACTAGCAAGCTCTACTCTTCCGTTAATGTGTGCCTGAGCTAATTTGGGAATTGAGGTAGAACAGGGCCAATAAATACCAAGAAATAAGGATGCACTCCATAGGCACAAATAACCACTAAGAACATCTTTCATTTTTTAATCAGTGTGAAATTAACAGCCATAACAGAGATGAGCAAATACACAACCTCTTTAACAGCTCCCCACCCCAAATAAATAAATAATCAATCAATCTCAGGAAACTAAACCTGGTTGCATCAAGAGCTTTGCTTTAAAACAGTACACAGTGACATATGGTCTTATTTATACAAAAAAGGCTGAAAATTAACCTCATTAGAAACCCAAGTCCAATAAAACATTCCTGGTGTATAACTTATCTAGTTATCTAGCTTATAAAATTTAGTTATAAAATTTATTTTTAATACCATCATGTTACAGGTTCTTTACTCAGTTTCAAACTAGGTTTTTTAATGTCCAACTCATCATCACTTCCAAAGAAAAATCATTTAAGTCCAACATGCAATGGAAGAGCACACTCTCAATACAGTATATACACTGGTATGGTAGGGAGTGGCCTACAGCTGTCTGGATCAGAAAGTGACTGGCACTTTCCTCTATGTTCTTTTACTGTGGGAACCCTTTATCAACGCGGTGGGCTATAAGAATCATCACCGAAAAATATTTAGTATTTTAAACATGTACAATTCAATGCAATCATTCAAACATACTACTGAAGGACCTAGATGCTCCACCTGGATGCTTAGTATAAGCTACTGATACCACTACTCACTGCTTCACCAGAATGGCTGTATATTTTTCCCACCAAAAGTAGGGCTATTGCACCATACGTTTCATGGTCTCTCTGTAAAGAAAAAAAATCATTGTCTTGGTTTATATTTCCTTAAAAAAATTAAAAAAATAAAAACACAAGTAAATTTTCTACAAATTGCTTTAAGAACTTAGTGAAATCTGAGGTTTTCTAAAGCAATCACCTCAATTGTTTTTAGTGCAACAGTATCCCACATACACACACAAAAAGTCAACATTTATACACACACAAAATCAACATTTATAAAAGATCAATTCTGAAATATAACTAACTACAACCTTTAATAAGCATGTACCACAAAATTAAAAGGCACAAGGATTTTTTAAGCATAAGTATTTACTTCATGATTCCGTAATTCATATCAGGTTCAAAAACACAGAATTCAGAAACTTTTCAGGATTTCAAAGTAGCTTTATAACTATTTTTTTTAAAGCATGGAGAACAGTACTAAACAGTTTAAATGCTCCTTCTGTGTAGAAAGAAACAATAGGCCCAGTCCTTTGCCTTCAGGTATGGATCAAAAAGGCTGAGAAACTTTTTGCCTTTGCAGACGTTCCTGACTGGTTCTATTTTTCTATGTTTGAAATGACTCAAGTTGGAGGTGTATGTAAGAGATAGGTCTAAAAGTCTGCAGGCAGGCGGGAGAGATCCAGATCATTTCTACTAACCTAAAACAAGGCTTTCAAAAGAGGCCCTCACAGGACTGTGGTTGTTGTCTCTTCGGTTTGTTCCGGAGGGAAAAGAACTATTTTAAAAACGTTATGGAAATGCATCCAAGTGGATGCAATGGGGAAAAAATCCAGAATGTAGAAAATTCTACCAAACAAAGACTGTGGGTTTAACAAACTGCAAGGGAATAAAAGTAATGGCAGAACTACAGATGAAAAACTTACGAAACTTACCATTTCCAATGTAAACTTTACTTAGATCTTAATTTGAACAAAACGATGTTAATCGCGATGTTAATTTTGAGCCAATCTGTGAAATTTTAACACTGACTGGATATATGATGATATAAAGGAATTGCCATTATTTTAGGTGTGGTAATATCAGTGCGGTTATGGCTTTTAAAGTCCTTATCTTTTTTAGAGATCTATACTAAACTATTTATGGTAAAGTGATTATGTTTAGGATGTACATCAAAATAATCCAGTGGAAGTAGGCATACCACGAAACAAGTTTGGCTAACGGTTGATAAATGTCAAAGCAAGGGCAATACAGACATAGAAGTTTACTTCCCTGAATAAAAAATAAAAACTTATGGTACAATCACTGATTTATTATTCTGTCTAAAGTAATCATTAAGACCAGCGGTTCTCAACCTGTGGGTTGCGACCCCCTTGGGGGGTCAAAGGACCCTTTCACAGGGGTCGCCTAAGACCATCGGAAAACAAAAAGATATCTACATTACGATTCATAACAGTAGCAAAATTAGTTATAGAGTAGCAACGAAAATCATTTTATGATTGGGGGTCACCACAACATGAGGAACTGTATTAAGGGGTCGCAGCATTAGGAAGGTTGAGAACCGCTGATTAAGACAGTTTAGCAACTTGAAGAAATGCTTATTATATAATACTATATGAAGAAACAAATGTACCTATGTCAAAATTACAAAAGCATTAAGGGAAAAAAGGGAATAAGAAAACAAAACTGAATTTGTGGGTTAGCTGATTATTTTTATCTGCTAGTTTTACACTATTATCATTAGACATTGATGAATTCAGGAGTAGGCAGATAATTTTAAACTACCTAAGGTTGGGTATAAAATAGTGGAGGAGCCTAGAGTAAAATAGAGAATGTATGACTCACTTTAAAGATAGTTAATTGCAAATACTATGTACTAGTATGCTACATAAAATATTTTTAACCAGATATTCAAATATCTTCATTTGTAGGGTGACTGTCATTTACAGGCCAAAGCAACCTACTTTGAAGAGGAGGTAGTAACAATCGAACCAGGATGACACAGGAAAACCAGACCATCTGGTCACCCTGTTCCCTTTACACATTTAAGCTAAGGCATAATTTGTTTACTTGTTTGTGCTTAAGTGAAATGTCTAAAGTCAAAATGAATTATCCTCATAAGAACTAGAGAGACTGCAGCCTAGAGAGGCACAGGTTTGCCCAAAGTCAGTGTTAATTGGGAAGGCCAGTGCTGAGTCAGAATCCAAGTACCCTGACACAGTCCAGATCAATCTATTCAGTACCACTTTAGGTTTTTAATTACATGTGTCCTCCTCCTTTTTTCCACAAAAAGATTCTCCTCAGAAATGAGTTCTTCAATCAAGTAACTATAAAAATAAGGCAAAAAAAAAAAATACAAAGGAAGGGGGGAGAATGTCAAATGCTTAAAAAAAGAGCAGACTCTTGGTCAATCCACATATATATGAAATCCTGTACTCAAGCATCAAACACTTTTTCTATACAGTGAAAATCTCTTCCAACTTTAAGATGTTTTTGAACCATGCATAATGTCAGAATAAAATAATAAAGGTAGTATCTGGCCGTTTTGAAGAAAAGCACTAAGTAGTCTCCCAAATGTTAATTCTTTCTTGACTACCTCACCAAACAGGAAAGAACCAAGACTTCAGAGCCTACTGTGTATTCCCCAACATACAGCTAAGAAAATGGGTCCTCTCCCGGGCAGGTTCCATGGCTAGGAGCTGACTACAGCATCTGCTTGGCTCTAGCACCCATAGCATTTGTATTATCCCATACTGCTACTAAAATCAAGATAAACACTAAATTTCAAAAATTTGCAATTCTTTACTTACTGCTTAAAAGAAAACTTGCCAGCCCAATTAACTTTTTAATATGAAAGTCCAAGAGGTATAGGCTTTTCAGATTCAGATCAACCTACATCTGAATTCTCACCTTGCCATTTATAAGCTAAATGGCCAAATTAAATGAACCTCAATTTCCTCCTATATAAATGAAAATACCACCAGTTATAAAGACTAAAGCATGTGGTATAATGCCTGGTATATAATACAGACTCAATAAGAAGCTATTTTTACCTAAAGGTTTAAATTCAATGGCCAATTCAAATAGGATACAAAGTATTTTTAAAGCAACTGATTGACTATACTCATGGTCTTGATAGTCTATAAAGCATATGTCCTGGATAATCAGTTAACCCCAAAACTGCACTTGAAAGTATGTAATCAAGATAAACAGATTGCAAAATATGGCAGATACATTTTTCCAAATTATATTAAATTATGAAAAAGGGATACCCAACTGGTCAAGCATTGCTCCAATAATTCCTTGAAGTGCTAAAATGTAAAAACCATGTATTTTATTTCCTTACCACTTCTACAATGGGTGCCTCCCATAAGTTAATAACGGAAGGCAGGAACTGTGTCTCATACATACACAGGCATGCCTCACAGATATTGCTGATTCGGTTCCAGACCATCACAATAAAGCGAGTGTCGCAATAAAATGAGTCCTACTTTTTACTGGTGGAGAGGTCTTGCCTTAAGTTTATTTTTTTTAAAAAGTAACACCTGTGAAGCGCAGTAAAGCCAAGTGCAATCAATAAACGAGGTATGTTTTAGCATCCCTAGGAGGGTCCCTTACACACAGATGTACTCAATAAATATTTGTTGAATGAAAAGTTGACAATTCCCTTAAAGGCTTTTTAAAAAAACTTTAATGACGAGATCCTTTCAATTTAAAACATTAAAATATAAAAGATTAATACTAGCTTCTCCAACAAAAGAAATTGCTGTTGAAAAGCACTGTTAGCAAAATAGACCAAAACTCTAAAAATAAACTGCAATTCTCTAACAATTTAAAAAAAAAACAACAACAACACAATGAGCACCTCAACACAGGAAAGCACTATCCATTCCATTTCTAAAAACAACTTACCTTTTTGCACCTTCCTTTTGCAGATTTGAAATCCAGATTCTCACACAATCACCAGCCTTCACTTCTGTTTGATTCAATAGCATACACACTGCTGAGTCTCTTTTGCTAGTAAATACATCAGTAGAAAGCACACTGGTCTTATTCTGCTTTCTAACTATGAAAACAAAAGTGCCAAAGTCCTATCTCAAAATTCTTTTTAAAAAGAACTTTTAAAAAACATGAGATTAAACAACGTGCAGAAATAATTGCAAAGACTCTCATCTTTCCCACCCCCCACCCCCACCCCCAAACATCATACTTTGAGATGTTAATTTTAAATGGACTTTTTTCCCCAAATGGGAAAGGATTCTTGTTGTACCTTGCTGGGAGGGCAAGGAGGTAAAACATACTAAAATAAGCCGTTTCCAAACGGGTGAAATACCATCAGAGTGTGTGCTGTTGCGGGAAACAGAACGGAAAGCTGTGAATGGGAGTCTGCACTTCATATCTGCAAAAGAAGAGTAAAAAGGTTAACTTAACTGTAGGCTTAGATTCTCTTCTTTACCCGTTTAAAGCAATACCCATAAACATTTTAAATCCAAAGATGAAAATGTGCTGGCTAAGACAGGTTTGTGGGTGCATCCAGCCTTCTTGTTCTTAATACATAAATTTAAACTATACCTACAGTATTAGAAGTCAGTATTTGAACACTTCACACCATCTTGATATTCAAAGTTAAAAAGAAAACCCGATCTCTTCTTTAGACTTTCCGTAACAACTGTCGTAGTAATAATTAGCTAAACGTGTTTGCTGTTGAACAATTATCTACTAAGGAGAATTAGTTCTAAAGAGTCAGAATTAACCATCAAAAGGCTCCTTTTAAATAAATGCTCTTCCCCCTATAAGGAGTGACAGTTAACCTTTTGGGAACCCCCATGCGCACACCCCTTTCTCCAACCTCATTAAAATGAAAGGTTAATTGGAGAACAGAACTGCCTCACAAGCAGTCTCCCCCGACCAAGAAGACCGTTTCTCGGCGAAAATCCTCCGCATTTTGCACTAACCCTCCCGCCCCAGTGTGAGCGAGCCAGGGCCGGGTCTCGGAAGGAGGCCGGGGCCGGGGGTGACACCCGCGAGCCCGTCACGCACCCGCGCCCCCTACCTGGGGGCTCACCTGGGGCAGGGACCGCCCTCTCCCGGCCTCGCGCGCCTGCCCCACTAGGAGAGCGCGCCACGCGGGACCCGAGGGCGGTGCGGGCGCCGGGGAGGCGGGAGCCGGGGGTGAAAGGGCGGCCCCGGTTTCCTCCCTCCCTGGGGACCGAGCGGACCGGGGCGCCCAGGGGCGTGCTGGGGGTGGGCGCGGTACCTTTTGGACAGATCCATGAGAACCCCGGAGAAGAGCTTCTCCCCAAGGCGGAACGACACGACGAGCGCGTCCTCAATGATGTGGTCCAGCGTGACCCGCACCTCCGAGCCAGGGATGAGCTGCGACACCGCAGAGTCCCCGCCCGCCGGCGGCACGAGCGCCGGGGCTGCGGGCTGGGGCAGCGGCGGCTCCTGGCGCTCCTCGGGAGCCGGGGGCTGCTCCGGCGGCGGTGCAGGGGAAGGTGGGAGATCGGGCCCTTCCTGAGGTGCGGCTGCCGCCAGCTCCACCACCCGGGCGGGCAGCTTCTCCTCAGCCTCCAGCTCCGGCCCCGCCGCCTCTGGGTTGCGAGCGAGCTCCCCCGGCGGCGGCGGTGGAGGCGGGAGCGGCGGCTCGTCGGCCTGAGGAGAGGACTGCTGCCCGTCGGCCTCGCCTTCCGGCACAGATGCTTCAGTGGCGGTGACCGGGAGCGGGTCAGTGCCGGCCTCGCTGCCGGGGATGGGCTCCATCTCCGGCTCGGCCTCGCCGGCGCCCCCCTCCCCGGGGGACGCTGCAGTCGCTGCCGCCTCTGCAGCTACGGCCGCCATTTTCTTCCTGGCTTCACCCTCCTCCAACTCCGGCTGCAGCGGCGCTGGCGGCAGCGCTGCTTGGTTCCCTGGGCCTTCCCCTCCCTCCCGCAAAACAGTTTTGTCCCGCCCTTTCCCTAAAGCTCGTTATTGGCACCGCGCCATTGGCTCCGTCCTACACCCCTCCCGCACTTCTGATGTACCATTTGCCACATGTGGACGTCTATCATCTAGTCATTCCATCCCTCCCATGCAGAGTAGGAACTTCTCATTGGCCGGATGAGTTGTCAAATGTCGAATCTTAGAGGAGGAGTGGGGGCGGGCTCAAAGTGAGCGGGGGAAGTCACAAAAGATGAGCCATATACTTATCGACTCTTGCTATTGGCTGGAAGAGGAAGTAAAATTTTATGGTTGGCCTACGCTCCTGCCCATTATCGGCCAGGCTTTCAGAGGCGGGAGAAAGGAGGGAATCACGTGGCGTGCCAGTTCTTTCAAAGGAGACGGAGGGGAGGAGTAACAAGGGGATGCGAGAGGGGAACTGCTTCCCAAGAATCCCTGCGCAGAGGTCCTTAGAATAAATGTTATTTCTAGGCGCGGACCTGCTTGCGGCCGCTTGTGGGCACGACAAGTTTCTTTGGGAAGGGCAACTAAAGTTTCAAAATCTACAAGCGCTTGGAGCTCCTACTATGCTAGGCACTGTGCTAGGTACTGGGGATAAAATGATGTGCAAGACATTCTCCGTAGCCTCATGGTAGCCACTCCAACCTCCACACAAGATCTGTTTTCCTTCCCTCCACTTTCTAGGAACAACGCACCTATTCATTTCAAAGTAGGAAAATGCTAATTAAAACAGGAGGGACACCATGTTCACTGGATTAAGCTAATGAAAGTTCCAAAGAGCAGTCGTAAGGCATTGCTGGGCTCCCATGTGAACACTGCTTGTTTTCCAAATTCACTGGAAAGTGGGCCCACCTGTTTTCTTGCTTAAGCTTTTACTCTTTTCCTGGCCTCCCCTATGCCACAGGTACAAAAAGTTCCTCTCTTCAGTGTCCTAATGCCCCTACTTCTCTCTCTTACTTTAAGTCTCTTGGTTTGTATGTTGGGAAGAATCGACTAAATCCATTTCTCTCAAATTGTATCTCAGAGTCACCCTTCTCTGCAGGAGAGATTATAGGCACTTAGAATACCTACAGGAGGGAGGGGAGAAAAGTTGCCAGCTTAAAGGGAGTAAAAAATAAAATCTTGAAGAATAATTACAACTGACATTTATGAGTACCTACTGTGTACCAGGCACTAGTGCAAACACTTAGAATATCATCTCATTTAATCCTTACAATATTCCTATGAGGCAGCTACTATTATTATTATTATACCCATTTTATAGATAAGAAATTGAGGCACAAAAAGGGTGCCCAAGGTCTCTCAGCTAGTAAGCTGCAGAGTCAGAATTCCAGCTTTTTACACTGGAAGAACTGAAAATAGCAAAAAGTAAAGATCACTATTTGCTCTGACTATTTCAAGCCACAGGGCTCTTGAGAAAAGGCCAGTAGGAAACCCCTGTCAGGGCAGGTTCAGCATCTCCAAAGTAACAGAAGGAAATGAATTTACTGACCGTCCACTCTGTGCCAGAGATTTTCCCTTAAGCTCTCATTTAAAATCCTGTGAGTTAAGTCTTCTCCCTCTTCTACAGATAAGGAAACTGACCTTAGCCAGGTTCAAGATCTTGAAGGTCACACAGATGGCTAGCAGCAGATCCTATCTCACCCAGGTCTTTCCAAGTGCATGATCCTTTCACTCATTTATTGAGCAAATAATTTATCTCCCGCAGGCCTCATGCCTGCAGTAAACAGACATGGATCCCACCTTACAGAATTGTCACCATGATCACTTTATCTATATGGCTCACCACAATCAATTAATTAAACACAACAGAGTTCTATGAAAATCCTAGACCTACACTGAGCTCCCACATTGTATAATCTCCCACAGGGAAAAAAAATACAGTTCAGGTTCTGGGACCTGATTACTTCTTGCAGTAATTCATTGCAAGACACTGCAGTGCATTATTTAAATTAAGGATTTATAGCAGATTGTGGCATACCAAGTCACCCTTCTAACTCATTTTTCATCCTACCACTCAAGAGTCTACTAGCTCCCTATGTTTACATCAAATGCACACTCTTGTGCTTGTCTTTCAAGGTCCTCTGTGTTCCTACTCTTATCTTTCAAGGTCTGTTTTCTACTACTCTTCAAGCTTCCTATGCTGAAAAGATCTGGTCATGAAGTTTTCATCCATTTATTCAACAAATAAATGTTGAAGGCCTACTATGTGTCAGTTACTGGGCTAGGGAGGCAGAAGCCATGCAGAAAACACAGGAGTGTTTTCTGTAGTATGTGGTCTCCTGGGGCTTGTTTTTCTGGTTAGGAAGCTAGAAAATATCTAATGGGTAAACAAGATGATTACAGATTGTAAGCAATGCCTTAAAAGAGATAAACAAAGTGAGGTGATAGGGAGTAGCTGGGGGAGGGGCAGAGGGTATCTCCTTTAGATAGGGTGGTCAGAAAAGACCTTTCTAAGGACGGGACAGTTTAGCTCAGATGAAAAAGGTAAGGAGCCAGCATTGACATTGTTGGATGAACATGTGGGTCAAAAGGAACGGCAATTGCTAACATCCTGAGGCAAAAGAGGTCTTGGCTTATTCCAGAAACAGAAAGGAGGCCAGTGAACTGGAAAACAAACAGCAAGATAAGTGGATAAGGTAAAATTGGAAAGGAAGACAGGAGCCAAATCATACAAGTATTTTATGCACTGCAGATACAAAAACAAAAGATCCTGCCCTCAGGGAGTTCTTAAGCGAGTGGGAACACAGCTTTTACTCTCAATTGTATCCTGGTCACTTCTGTATTCAGCCTCCTCCTGGCATTGAATCAGCATAGAGGAGGTATTCCTGGAATGGATAGCCACGTGGTTTTTGTGTCTGGATGAACGGTGGAGGATTGGATGGATGGTTGGAAGGCTGGATGGTGCCTTAGTCCATTCAGACTGCTAGAACAAAATACCATAGACTTGGTGGCTTGTAAACAACAGAAATGTATTTCTTATAGTTCTGGGGGGCTGGAAGTACAAGATCAAAGTGCCAACATGGTCAGATGAGGGCCCTCTTCCAGGTTGCAGACTTTTCATTGTATTGGGTTGTCGGAAAAGTCATGACGCATTTTTGTAACAAAAAACATAGAAAAAATACGTCATGACTTTTCCGACAACCCAATATACTTACATGGTGGAAAGGGGCAAAGGAGCTTTCTTGGGTCTCTTTTATAAGGCCATTAATCTCATTCATGAGGACCCCTCCCTCAGGAACTAATCACCTCCCAAAGGTCCCATGTCCTAATATTATCGCCTTGGGAGTTAGGATTTCAACATATAAATTTTGGAGGGACACAAACATTCAGACCATAGTAGATGGATAGTTGGTTGATTGGACATGTGGATGGAAAAGGGGCCACATGTTAAACCTGACAAGCTCAGGAACTGAAAATAACCAGAGGACGGGGTAAACATAAAAATTCCCAACAAAGGTGGGCCATGGTAGGAAGTTACATCCTTGGCTTGTAGCTTCCTTGATAAAGGTCAATCTTTACCTTAAGCCTGTCTGTCATCTTTTTGCATCTAAGATAACATACCCTTACAATATCAGAGTAATTTCTTTGTCCAGACCCCCCAGGGGGCACAACCCACCACACCAGACAGAACAGGAACCAACAAAATCCCTCATTGTTATCTTGTTCCCCAAATACAATCTCTATGTGCTGTAAAATGCTATTAACTCTGCTATATATATCCAGCAATGTAAAAGAAGCATGTATCTCTTCATTTTCCTTTTTATCCAATCCCAGAGATTTCCCTGCTTTGCTTTCTCCTACCTCCTTAATCTACAACCAATGGATTTCATGTAACCTTCCTCCTTTGATTCTAATGTATAAAATAAGTTGCAAAACGGCCATTTTTTGAAGCATTTTCTGAATCCATTGAGACTTTGCTTCCCGGCAATTGTCGTCAGTTTGGCTCAAATAAACTCTTATAACTTTTCTTTTAGCATGGATGTTTTTCGTTGACAGACAGATCATTGAAGAGATGGGTGGGTGGTGGGTGGGTGGATGGTTGGATAGATGAATGGCAGGGATAAGGAATCCAGCTGACTACTCAAGGGCACCCTCACTGCCACAAGCAGACGTTGATCTCAAGCTCTGTGGACAGTACCATAGTTTGGTGGCTAAAAACTCTGACAATGGAAATGAATGAACCTGTATGTGACTCCCAGTTGGACTCACTAGCTGTATGATATGGGCACAACTTAGGCTAGTTGCTTATCCTCTATTTCCTCACTTATAAGTTACCTTAATAATAACTAACTTCCTATAGGGTTGATCTGTTTGTTTTTAAATTATGTAGCATATATAAAGTGCTTAACATAGGCCCTAAACCATAGTAAGCATAGCTCCATAATTATTAGCAACTAGATGTAGAAATTCAGTCTTATCATTGCATCTGGGGTCAATCATACTTCAGGGCTCTGACTCCCAATAATCAAACTTGTGAGGGATAAATATGCCTAATGATGGTTTAGTGGTAGTTTTTTTTCCTGGGCCTGTTCTCTCAGGAAATCAAACTATAGGCAGACAATAGCATGGGGAACAGAGACTCAAGACAAAAAGAACTGACTCACAGCACATGGCTGCGAAGCCATGGTGGCTGAATGAACTGCTTGTTTGCTTGTCCTATTCCAGGCCTATTTCTATCCAGGTAACCAATATTTCTCTTCTAAAATCAGATTGCTTATTCCCAGACCAAGACTGTGATGGATAGCTACTGACAAACATGTCAATCATCGGCTCTCTCTCCATGTGTCTCAGTGGTTCTCAATGTATCAAGGGATCTCTCTGAGAATCTGGTAAAAAGCTACCTTTTACATAGTGTGTGACTCCATTTATATACAGTACAAAAACAGGCAAAACAAACTTATGCTGTTAGAAGTCAGGACAGTGGTTATTCTTAGCCAGAAAGAGAGGACAGTATAGCTAGTGACTAATAGCGAATATAAATGGATTTTCTGGGATTCTCATAATTTTCTATTTCTTCATTTACATACTGATTA